CAGGACACCCTCATGAAGTCTGTTTCTGATTGTTTGGTCAGATCCAGACATTCACACCAGTGTCCTGCTGGAGGTCATTTTGTAGGGCTCTGGCAGCGCTCATCCTGTTCCTCCTTCCACAATGGAGCAGATACCGGTCCTGCTGATGGGTTAAGGACCTTCTACGGCCCTGTCCAGCCCTCCTAGAGGAACTGCTTGTCTCCTGGAATCTCCTCCATGCTCTCGTCTCCTGGAATCTCCTCCATGCTCTTGTCTCCTGGAATCTCCTCCATGCTCTTGTCTCCTGGAATCTCCTCCATGCTCTCTCCTGGAACCTCCTCCATGCTCTTGAGACTGTGCTGGGAGACACAGCAAACCTTCTGGCAATGGCAGGTATTGATGTGCTGTCCTGGAGGAGTTGGACTGCCTGTGCAACCTCTGTGGGTCCAGGTATGGCCTCATGCTACCAGTAGTGACACTGACCCCAGCCAAATGCAAAACTAGTGAAAAACAGTCCGAAAAGATGAGTAGGGAAGAAATGTCAGTGGCCTCCACCTGTAAAACCATTCCTGTTTTGGGGGTCGTCTCATTGTTGCCCATCTAGTGCACCTGTTCATTACATGAACGCCAAAGCAGCTGAAACTGATGAACAACCCCCTCTGCTACTTACCTGACCAGATCCATATCCCGGGAGTGTCATGGACTTGATGCAACTCGGATTACAAAGTCTTCCTTTCATTTTTTTGAGCTGTGTATAATAAAAAATAAAAAAAAAACACAGTGGTGATCAAATATTACCAAAAGAAAGCTCCATTTGTGTGAGTAAATGATATAAAATTTAGTTTGGGTACCGCGTTGCATGACCACGCAATTACCAGTTAAAGTAGTGCAGTGCTGCATAGCAAAAAATTGCCCTGGTAATAAAGAGGGTAAAATATTCCAGAGCTAAAGTGGGTAAAGAGACACATTAAGTGCCCAGTCACACCGGTGCGATTTCAGTGCAATTTGCGAATTGAAATCGCAGCTGAAATCACATTTAATGAATTATGAATATCAATGTCTGCACACATGCGATTTGCTGCGGCGCGGTAGTTCCTGCGTGACTTTTTCTGTAGTTTTGTTGCGATTTCACATACATAGAATATGCTTCCCTGGAGCTCCCAGCGCGCAGCACCGCGATGCAAGAAATGCCCGCTTGAAAATCTTCACACAGTAGCAAAAAATTCTTCGAAATCGCAATGAAATTGGACACAAATTGCGAGTTAAATCGCAGCAGTGTGATGACTGATGTCTGGCCATACCTAAGCGATTTGCACATGCGTTTTGCAGAAACAAGATGTCTACTTCATGACATCATTGCTTACTACGTTCAAATATGTGCGTTGATCACAGCTGGTCATTTTGGAAAGGGCAGAGACTTTTTTTCACCACAGCTCTTGTCCAGCCCATGTATAAAACGGCCGGACCCAGTGCAGGGGCGGGTGGCACACATAAATTTCCCCGTCAATGGCGTGCAGGAATGCAGCGCAGAGAGAAGGCGAATCTGATTGCCCGCTCTGTCCTTGCAAATACAGTACAGCCTGTACGGGACCTTGAGCTAGGTTCCGATCATGTGATCACTGATTGGCCAATCAGTGATCACAAAGTAATAAACAAGATGTCACTTCTGACATCATTGCTTACTACGTGTGAAATCTGTGAATGATCACAGATGGTCACATGGTACAGGGTCACAACAGCTTGTACCATGTGACAAGCTATGTAAAAAAAAACAGCTCACACATAAATCAATGTAAAATATAAAATAAAAATGTTTAAAAATTTAAATTTTTGGGTATAAACTAATTTGGGTTTTTTTTTTTTTTTTTACTAAAAAAATGATAACTGAATAAATTTTGGCCAAGATTTATGATGAAATATTATTTATTTGCAACATTTTATAAGAAAAAACACTTTTTTTAAAAATTTTTGGACTTTTTCATTTATATAGCAAAAAAAATAAAAATCCCAGCGGTGAATAAATACCACCAAAATAAAGTTTTATCTGTCACAAAAAAATGCTAAACAATTCATATGGTACAGTGTTGCATGACCGCGCAATTGTCATTCAAAGTGTGATAGCGCTGAAAAACTGAAAATTGGCCTGGACAGGAAGGAGGTGAAAGGGACTGGAAAGGGGGGGGTGAGCCGGACTGGAAGGGGGGTGAAAGTGTCCCGACCGGAAGGGGGTGAAAGTGTTCGGACCGGGGAAGGGGGGTGAAAGTGTCGGACTGGAAGGGGGGGAAAGTGTCCGGACTGGAAGGGGGTGAAGGGGTCCGGACTGGAAGGGGGTGAAAGTGTGCGGACCGGAAGGGGTGAAAGTGTCCGGACCTGAAGGGGGGAAAACTGGAAGGGGGTGAAAGTGTCCGGACCTGAAGGGGGTGAAAGTGTCCGGACTGGAAGGGGTCCGGAAAGAAGGGGTTAAATACAAACCATTGCGGTTCGGTTCGATAGACTTCAATGGAGATGGTGCAGAAATGCTTGTAGTGCGTTTTATATGCTCTTTTGAAGAGTTTTGCATTTTAATCTGCTTAGCAACAAGTTATTATTATTATACAGGATTTATGGCACCAACAGTTTGCTCAGCGCTGTACAATATAATGGGCACAATACAGCAACAATACAGTTCAATACAAGAGGGTTAGGAGGGTCCTGATCCTGGGAGCTTACAATCTAAGAGGGAGGGGCTAGTGGAACAAAAGGTAGTAACTGTGGGGGAGGGACTGGTAGGAGGAATAGAAGATTCCATTATTAGCTGATGGCAGGATAGGCTTCCCTAAAGAGAGAGGTTTTCAGAGATCACCTAAAAGTGAGCAGAGTAGGCGATAGTCTGATAGATTTGGGTAGAGAGTTCCAGAGGATGGGGGAAGCTCTGGAGAAGTCCTGAAGACGAGCATGGGAGGAGGAGACAAGGGAGCTAGAGAGCAGGAGGTCGTGGGAGGAGCGGAGTGTGCGTGTTGGGCGGTACTTGGATATTAGGTCAGTGATGTAGTTCGGGGCAGTATGGTGGACGGCTTTGTACGTCAGTGTTAGGATTTTGAATTTGACGGTTTGGGTGATATTTGGAGACAAGATTGGTGATGTAATTTGGGGCAGAGTTATAAATGGCTTTATATGTTATTGTTAGTGTTTTGAATTTTATCCATTGGGCAATGGGAAGCCAGTGGAGGGATTGGCAGAGAGGGGTGGAGGACACTGAGTGGAGGCCAGTGGAGGGATTGGCAGAGAGGGGTGGAGGACACTGAGTGGAGGCCAGTGGAGGGATTGGCAGAGAGGGGTGGAGGACACTGAGTGGAGGCCAGTGGAGGGATTGGTAGAGAGGGATGGAGGACACTGAGTGGAGGCCAGTGGAGGGATTGGTAGAGAGGGGTGGAGGACACTGAGTGGAGGCCAGTGGAGGGATTGGCAGAGAGAGGGGTGGAGGACAGCTGATGGAGGTCAGTGAGGGATTGGTAGAGAGGGGTGGAGGACACTGAATGACGGCCAGTGGAGGGATTGGCAGAGAGGGATGGAGGACAATGAGTGGAGGCCAGTGGAGGGATTGGCAGAGAGGGGTGGAGGACACTGAGTGGAGGCCAGTGGTTAGGGATTGGTAGAGAGGGGTGGAGGACACTGAGTGGAGGTCAGTGGAGGGTTGGAGATGTTGAGGGGTGGAGGACACTGAGTGGAGGTCAGTTGGAGGGATGTGGCAGAGAGGGTGGAGGACACTGAGTGGAGGCCAGTGGAGGGATTGGCAGAGAGGGGTGGAGGACACTGAGTGGAGGCCAGTGGAGGGATTGGCAGAGAGGGGTGGAGGGACACTGAGTGGAGGTCAGTGGAGGGATTAGCAGAGAGGGATGGAGGACACTGAGTTGAGGCCAGTTGGAGGGATTGGCGAGAGGGGTGGAGGACACTGAGTGGAGGCCAGTTGGAGGTGTTGGCAGAGGGGTGGAGGACACTGTTGCCAGTGGAGGTTGGAGATTTGCAGAGAGGGGTGGAGGACACTGAGTGGAGGTTGGAGGGATTAGCAGAGAGGGATGGAGGACACTGTTGTGGAGGCCAGTGGAGGGATTGCAGAGAGGGGTGGAGGTGTTGTGGAGGTCAGTGGAGGGATTGCAGAGGTTGGAGGTTGCGGAGGTTGAAAGATGTTGGAGGTGGAGATGTTGGCAGGTTGGAGGTGATAGACTGAAGAGGTTGGAGGTGTTGCGGAGGTTGGCCAAGAGGAGGGAGGTTACAATAGTCAAGGCGAGAGATAACCAGGGAGTGAATAAGTAGCTTAGGTTTGCGGGTTAGGAGATGTTGCCGTATCTTGGAGATGTTGCGGAGGTTGGAGATGATGCGGAGGTTGGAGATGTTGCGGAGGTTGGAGATGTTGCGGAGGTTGGAGATGTTGCGGAGGTTGGAGATGTTGCGGAGGTTGGAGATGATGCGGAGGTTGGAGATGTTGCGGAGGTTGGAGATGTTGCGGAGGTTGGAGATGTTGCGGAGGTTGGAGATGTTAGCGGAGGTTGGAGTGTTGCGGAGGTTGGAGATGTTGCGGAGGTTGGAGGTGTTGCGGAGGTTGGAGATGTTGCGGAGGTTGGAGATGTTGCGGAGGTTGGAGGTGTTGCGGAGGTTGGAGGTGTTGGAGGTTGGAGGTGTTGGGAGGTTGGAGGTGTTGCGGAGGTTGGAGGTGTTGCGGAGGTTGGAGATGTTGCGGAGGTTGGAGATGTTGCGGAGGTTGGAGATGATGCGGAGGTTGGAGATGTTGCAGAGGTGAAGTCTACAAGATTTGGACAGTTGGCCAATAACCCCCATAAAAACGCAAAATGCATAAAAAACGCGTCAAAACTGCATGTGCAAAAATGCAAAAAGCACTGTAGAAACGCATCAAACGCAAACTGCATAGTGTGAACCGAGCCTTATGACCACAGATCGGCATTCATTGGACCTGCCCTGGAGTTGGGACTGGAAGAGTCCGGTATGTGATGAGTGTGTGACGCCATCTTGTTTTCATGTTGCAGCTGTGAGGATTATATGAAGAAGATCGAATGCTTCTATCAGTGCTCCCCGCTGACCGCGCACTGGGGTCACCCCAACATCTCCGTCGCCATCCAGAGCGTGCCGCTGTGCCGGACCTTCTGTGACGGCTGGTAAGTGCAAGCCGTAACCTGAACCCGAGTCATGCCACGGGACCAACATTCCAAAACCTCTGGCATTTAATAATGGATGCAGTGGGGGAGGGGTAGAGCCATCTGTGACCAAATTCAGGAAATTCGATGTGAGTGTGGAAGGGTGAAACTTCTGAAAATGTTTTTAATGCTGCCAGTCACTTCCTGTCCTGGTGACAACCTTCCCCCATTTCTGGGATGGGTGTCACAGGGACAGGAAGTGAAGGAAAAATCTCTTCAGTGGCGGTCACAGAGAGAAATAAAAAGCTGACAGAGATGTTCGCTCTTCTCACACTCAGGTTTGAAGCGTGCCGGTCAGATCTGGTCTGTGTTCACAACTTCCTCACCGATTGGACGTATGATGAGAGCGGAAACCATTGTAAGAATGACTGTGTCCCCTTCGACAAGGTACCATGAAAGATGGGTGACACCAGTCACTGTATGAGGGTACAGTGTGTGACTGTGGGGGAGGGGACATTAGAGTGTAAGCTCCTCTGGTACAGAGACTGATGTGACTGTGTGGGGGGGGAGGGGACATTAGAGTGTAAGCTCCTCTGGCACAGAGACTGATGTGACTGTGGCGGACGGGGACGGGGACATTAGAGTGTAAGCTCCTCTGGCACAGAGACTGATGTGACTGTGGGGGAGAGGGGACATTAGAGTGTAAGCTCCTCTGGCACAGAGACTGATGTGACTGTGGGGGAGGGAACATTAGAGTGTAAGCTCCTCTGGTACAGAGACTGATGTGACTGGCTCAGTGTTTTCTCTACAGCGCTGCAGTATATGTTGGCACTATGCAGTACCTTAAAAAAGTCTTCCTACCCCTTGAAATGTCCCCCATGTTGTCATGTTACAATGTATTCCCCCTCCCCTCTGAAATGTCCCCCATGTTGTCATGTAACAATGTGTCCCCCCCCCCCCCCCCCCCTGAAATGTCCCCCATGTTTGTCGTGTTACAATGTGTTTCCCCCCCTCCCCTCCTGAAATGTCCCCCATGTTGTCATGTCACAATGTGTTCCCCTCTCCCCCTGAAATATCCCCCATGTTGTCATGTTTACAATGTAACCCCCCCCCTCCCCCCCTGAAATGTCCCCCATGTTGTCATGTTACAATGTATTCCCCCCCAAAATGTCCCCCATGTTCTCATGTTTAACATTTGTATCCCCCCTGAAATGTCCCCCATGTTGTCATGTTACAATGTATCTCCCCCCGAAATGTCCCCCATGTTGTCATGCTACAATGCATCCCCCCCCGGAATGTCCCCCCTGTTGTCATGTTGTTACAATGTATCGCCCCCCCCCCCCGAAATGTCCCCCATGTTGTCATGTTACAATGTATTCCACCCCCCCCCCCCCGAAATGTCGCCCATGTTGTCGTTTGTTACAATGTATTCCCCCCCCGAAATGCCCCCATGTTGTCATGTTACAATGTATCCCCCCCCCCTGAAATCCCCCCATGTTTGTCGTGGTACAATGTATCCCCCCCCCCTCCATGTTGTCATGTTACATTGTATTCCCCCCCTTGTTGTCATGTTACATTGTATCCCCCCCCCCCATGTTGTCATGTTACAATGTATTTATCGGGATTGGATGTGATGGACCGACACAAAGTGGCACATAATTGGGAAGTGGAAGGATAATGAGAAATGGATTCCAACATTTGTGACCAATAAATATGTGAAAAGTGTGGCTTGCATTTGTATTCAGCCCCCCGGAGTCAATACTTTGTAGGACCCCCTTTGGCTGCTTTCCAGCTGCAAGTCTTTTTGGGGGATGTGTCTCTTTGCACATCTAGAGGGGACATTTCTGCCCGTTCTTCTTTGCAGGATCCTCAAGCTGTCAAACTGGATGGAGGGCGTTCTTAACGGGGAGGGAAACAGCAATTTTCAGGTCTGGCCACAGATTCTCCATTGGATTTGGGTCTGGACTGTGACTGGGCCATTCTAACCCATGAAGATGCTTTGATCGGAACCATTCCATTGTAGTGTCTGGCTGGATGATTCGGGTCGTTGTCCTACTGGAAGGGAACCACCGCCCCGGTCTCAAGTCTTATGCAGACTCTAACAGGTTTTCTTCTAAGATTTCCCTGTATTTGGCTGGGCCCATCCATCTTCCCATCAACTCTGACCAGCTTCCCTGTTCTGCTGAAGAAAGCATCCCCACCCACATGATGCTGCCAGACACCATGTTTCACAGTGGGGGATGGTGTGTTCAGGGGGATGGCAGTGTTAGTTTTTCCACACACATAGCGTTTTTTCTTTTAGGCAAAAAAGTCCCATTTTGCCCCCCCTCTGACCAGAGCCCCTTCTTCCACATGTTTGCTGTGTCGGCCCCCACATGGCTTCTCACAAACTGCAAATGGGACTTCTTATGGCTTTCCTCCAACAATGGCTTCTTCTTGTCACTCTTCCATAAAGGCCAGATTTGTGCAGTGACGACTAATAGTTGTCCTGTGGACAGATTCTTCCTGGCTGAGCTGTGCAGCTCTTCCAGAGTTCCATGAGCCTCTTGGCTGCTTCTCTCTTGAGTATGAATGCTCTCCTTGCCCGGCTGGTCAGTTTAGGTGGAACGGCCATGTCTTGGTAGGTTGGCAGTTGTGCCGTACTCTTCCCATTTTTGGATGATGGATTGAACACAGTGCTCTGTGAGATGGTCAAAGCTAAGGAGATTTTTTTAATAACCAAACCCCTGCTTTATACTTCCCAACAACTTTATCCCTGACCTATTTGGGTGTGTTCCTTTGGCCTTCATAATGCTGTTTATTCACTAATGTTCTCTCTACAAACCTCTGAGGGCTTCACAGAAAACAGCTGGATTTATACATGAGATCACATGACACACAGGGGGACTTTATGTACTAATTAGGTGACTTCTGAAGGCAATTGGTTCCACTAGATTTTAGTTAGGGGTATCAGAGTAAAGGGGGCTGAATACAAATGCCGCCACACTGATCACAGATTTATTGGTCACAAATGTTGGAAACCATTTCTCATTATCCTTCCACTTCACAATTATGTGCCACTTTGTGTCGGTCCATCACATCCAATCCCGATAAATACATTGTAACATGACAACATGGGGGGGGGGGATACATTGTAACATGACAACATGGGGGGGGGATACATTGTAACATGACAACAACATGGGGGGGGGGGATACATTGATACATTGTAACGCGAAACATGGGGGGACATTTCATGGGGGGGGGATACATTGTAACATGACAACATGGGGGGGGGGGGGATACATTGTAACATGACAACATGGGGGGGACATTTCAGGGGGGGGGGAATACATTGTAACATGACAACATGGGGGGCATTTCATGGGGGGGGGGAATACATTGTAACATGACAACATGGGGGACATTTCGGGGGGGGGGGGAATACATTGTAACATGACAACATGGGGGACATTTCGGGGGGGGGGGGGGAATACATTGTAACATGACAACATGGGGACATTTCAGGGGGGGGGGAATACATTGTAACATGACAACATGGGGGGACATTTCAGGGGGGGGGGAATACATTGTAACATGACAACATGGGGGACATTTCAGGGGGGGGGGAATACATTGTAACATGACAACATGGGGGACATTTCAGGGGGGGATACATTGTAACATGACAACATGGGGGGGGGACATTTCATGGGGGGGGGGGGGATACATTGTAACATGACAACATGGGGGACATTTCAGGGGGGGGGGAATACATTGTAACATGACAACATGGGGGGACATTTGGGGGGGGGGAATACATTGTAACATGACAACATGGGGGACATTTCAGGGGGGAGGGGAATACATTGTAACATGACAACATGGGGGACCTTTTGGGGGGGGGGGAATACATTGTAACATGACAACATGGGGGACATTTCGGGGGGGGAATACATTGTAACATGACAACAACATTTCGGGGGGGGGGATACATTGTAACATGACAACATGGGGGACATTTCAGGGGGGGGGAATACATTGTAACATGACAACATGGGGGGGGGGAATACATTGTTTCTTTCATGGGGGGGGGGAATACATTGTAACATGACAACATGGGGGACATTTCGGGGGGGGGGAATACATTGTAACATGACAACATGGGGGACATTTCGGGGGGGGAAATACATTGTAACATGACAACATGGGGGACCATTTTGGGGGAGGGGAATACATTGTAACATGACAACATGGGGGACATTTCAGGGGGGAGGGGGAATACATTGTAACATGACAACATGGGGGACATTTCAGGGGGGAGGGGAATATATTGTAACATGACAACATGGGGGGCATTCCGGAGGGGGGATACATTGTAACATTACAACATGAGGGACATTTTGGGGGGGGGGGGGACTTCTTCAAGGCATTATACATAAGAGGTAATAACCATTCACATAGACCCCATAAATTGGTGTCTCCCTCTCCCCCCTCCCTCCCCCCTCCCTCCTCGGACAGATATCTTTTTCTAGATTCCACCAGCAGCGGTCGGATCTCTGGGATCCTCGGGAATTCTCGGGGTTGTTCTGTAGATATCGGTGACCTCACATCTTCCGCTCTCTTGGTGACACATCTGGAGTTGTCACTCTGCCGTGAATCATTCCTGAGACTCCATAAGGACTAAAATACAAAGTGACCCCTGTGACTGTGTGAAGGTGTGACTGTCTGCAGACATCCCAGTAAATATACCCGGCTGGTGTGGCAGCGCCATATACATGGGCTCTGATGGGTGCTGGGAATGATCTGATCTTTGCACTCCAGGAATCTGACCATTCATTATGCAATCTGATTGTACAATGCACTATGTAGCGAAGGCGCCTTCCTGATTGGATTCAAATTGAATAGATTGTCTAGGTGTGTGTCCTCATATTACCGAGCTCTAAGGGAGATTGTACAATCAGATTTTATAGTGTATGGTCAAATCTCATGAAAATGGACCTCTGTTCCCCGCGCTATAAATACACATTTCACCGATTGTCACGTGTTGTGTTAATGAATGGTGCGTGTTCGTTTTGCCATGCGTTGTGGCGTATGGTAGACGACCGGGCTGCCTGTTGCAATGAAAGCTGTATACATTCCCGCCCCGCAGCATTGGCAACAGCTGTAATCCGGATCAGAATCGGGGTTTATATTTGTCACATGACATCATAGGAGAAGATTGGTCTGTGGGTGGGCTGGTCTCAGCACACAGATCATCAGACGGTGTCGGCATTTCTCATCAGATATAACGGACGGATCGGGAGGAATCTTCTGTCCATGCCAATCATAGCAGAACCCTGACTCAGCCACGGCGTATGGGAGCGTCATCCTGAGTCAGGGGCTCGGTACTGAGATACATGGGGGAGCCCCTCCCTGGGTGTGTGACCCCCCTCACATGCATACTGTCACACTGCTGAGTCTGGGGG